TAGTGAACCATTTTCGAAATCCTCCCTGCTCATATGACTCTCGCTCGTCCAGTGTTCTGTCAGTTCCGGTTAGAATGACTTTAGTGAAAAATTTGTAGAAGACAGACAGTAATCAAATTGGGCGACAGCTGCTGATATCGTGAACGTCACTCTTTTTGAACAATAGTATGGTGTCATTGGCGTTCCATTGTCTGTGAACAGCCAATCCAGTGTGTTGATGACTGGTGGATGGTTCTTTAGGTGTTAAAGATTCTATTTTGTCCAGACCTGGTACTGTTCTCTTCTTCGCCGACGGAATAACATCTGATTTCACAAGGGAGAACCGTGATAGAGATCGGAGTAACAATCGTAAATTGCCTTTCATGAAGCCGTAACTGTTCTATCTAAGCGTCAGAGTACAATCATCTTAGTTCTGTAATTGGCGAAGCTTCGGTGTGCTGCCAATGCTCTTACTAGTCTCAGCAGCTTCGATCATAGCTGTTGCTCTTCTCTCGTTTAGACCTTCTTTTATCGCCTGTCTACATTATTTTGCAAGTTCGAACATGAATTAGCGGTTGCCTGTTATTCGCGAGATTCCACCCTGAGATTTCAGCTCGTGTATTTCTGGAGGCAGACGTCTTTTGGTGACTTTCGAACTCAGTTTTCATAGCACTAACGCGAGGATGTTGAACAGTCGTATTCCTTGTCGATGTTATTGAGGAAGGCATCTCCCCAACAACTGGTTAATGAGTTGAATAAATCCCAGTTTATGGTGATTCTCGGACTTCGTTATTTGAATTTAGCGGCTTTTCCTCCTTTCCACGAGAAACAGATTTTTGGACGAAGGAAACGGTGGTCTGATCCCGTGTAGAATTTTAGGATATCAGCGACATCGGTTGGGAAAAATTTTCCATTTGCTATAACGTGGTGCATTTTGTTATAGTACTCTCCACTGGGAGATCCCACTTTCACCGTTAAGAGAGCGCCTTTTGGTATTGCGATTTACCATGAATGGTCGTCATAATAAACTTATGTTACTCGCTCCATTCTAATCCGTGTATTCTAATGTGCATTGTTCAAATGCTCTTCTGAACGCAATCTTTGCGTAGATATATTTGATGATGACCTTAAAAGAATGTATGGTCTTCTCTGTAGAACTCCACGTCCATATAGAACGCTTGGACTTCTTCTTCGTCATAGTTTGATGTTGGCGCGTAAACGACGAAGATTGTCAAAGCTGGAATTGATCCACGTCTTTTTAATCGTAAACATCCGATACAAGTTATTAGTTGTTCAAATGGTTCGATGTTTATGGCCAACCTCGTGTTGATGAGAACTCCGACGCCCCCGAGACCTCGACTGTCGCATTTTCTAAGGAACAGTTCTTCTCCGATATCATAGACGGCGTAGAATGGCTGGTGTCTTCTCGTCTCTGCCAGTCCGATCGTAACTTATCCTTCTTGCCTACTTGATCAAGTCTCCTATCGATAACTCGGATGCAAGCGTGCGTGGATTGTAGGTACAGATCGTCTTTCACCTTGGTCCTTGGCGATTTGGGCAGCCTGGAATGGCCCTGAAATTCTACTAGCCTCTCCGTACTTGCCCAACACTGCCGTGTCGCGGACTCTTTCGGGATCGGGGAAATGAGGCCCGCTTATTCTACTGTGTTTATCCCTTGATGCGTACGTTTACCTTGCTGAGTTCTGCCGTGGGTGCTGGGTGTAGTCACGGGTGGCTTGCGAGTCTCTCCCAGAACAGACGGGAAATTTATTTATTGGAGGCGACTCCTAACCGCCTTTCATATACTACAGTACAATACAGTACAGTGTTACAAAGCAGCATTAAGATAGTACAGTATTTATTCATTCTCAATAGCCGAAGCGTCGGCTATTGTCAATTAATAAAAATTTCAATAACAACCTCGTGTTTGACCACCAAGAAGGCAGTGGATTACTGATCAATGCCGAGGTTAAAAGAATGTTCGTCCCAGGACTTGTTAGGTGATGACAGGACTACTGCTGGACCTAGCTTAAAAAGGAAAAGTCCTGAAATGATACCTTCGGTATCCTTAAGGAGACAATGTTCTGCTACCAGCTATGCCAAACAAAAACGGAATCCCCGAGACTTGCCATAATATGATCTTTCCCACACCGTAACCCGTACCAGAATCGAAGATTCATGTCGCGTGAAAGTCACCAAGAACATCGATTTCCTTTATTTGTTCCCAACTGCGCGTACAACGGATGCAACTATGCTTCGCTTTCGATGTATTTTCAGGTAAACATCAAAGCGAAATAATTCTCAAAGCGCTTAACTGCGTAGTTCAGCTTGACGTCCGTTGGATCAGTTATTTTTCAGAAGACACACTCAAGAATTTTATGGGTAGTGCGCAAAATTCTTGATATGGTCAAGGTTTCAACCTGATTCTAAGCAGCAGAGCGGAATCGTTAGTGAGGTCGAGTGCATTGCTCATTACTTAGGGACTGATCAACGCCGAGAGCTCTATGAAAAATTTCGATTTTACGAAAAATTTGGAACAGTTTGAAGTAGAAGTATACGACTGAATAGATCGTTTCCTGAAACAAACGAGTTACATTGAGTATCAAGTTAAGAATTGATTCTACAGAGGAACCGATCTTGTTCATCCAGACTACTGCAGGACAACAAAACCAAATGCATCAAATATTTTGTCAAGTCGAAAAATTGGAAACATATCCCAACAAGATGTTCCATAAACCGTAAAAACCTTCGGCGGTGATCAATGAGTTAGAGATGCACGTTTTAGATTTCGCCAAGCATCGTAGAGATGAGTGAATGCATATCTGGTCTACAGTAAACTACGACCGCCAATCGATGTAGCATGTGCCAAGCAGTGTCTTTGTCCACGTAAACAAAGTAGGTCAGGCGTTGGTATGACCTCGTCCCGAGGCCACCAAGCCACACATCTCTCCGAGGTCGGGGAAATGGTTCCAGATTTGTCGGAAGAAGCCCGCCCCTTCTAATCCACGTGGCAAGGCTCTAGCACGACTACTTTACGACCTGAAGAAGAATCGACTTGATCAACATTCAACGACATTCCTGACGATGATTAAAAAATCTTCAAGCAACTTGAAATCACACACGGAAAGTTCGAAGACCTTCATGAATCGTGGATGCAAGGATACGAATAGAATGTAATCGCTGGGATCTGGCCTGTGTGATACATATGATGTTGGATCATGTAACAGTAAAAAAGGAACTAAGAATAAGTGTGATAGCAACTTATCATCCCAGAGCAGTGAAGTGTGATATTGAAACAAATGTCTCGTACGTACGTATGGTACCTCTAATCACTGCGCTACATAAGCCCAAATTGTTCTAATTTTTTAACCACTTCTCGCTTTAGATGAGCCAACACCACACTCTGCAAACTTCAGCACTAGTATTCGACTTTCGATTCTACTTCCTTACACCTATTATCCACAAAGGTCTTCAGAGCTGCGTGTGGGTTCCGATAGCAGGTGCTACTAGCTGAAGAATTAGGTCTTTATAGGTACCACTGAATGGCTCACATTAATCCTCCCTTGAAGCCCGGGATAACCCTACATTGTTCTCAGACAAAAAGATAAAGGATAACGCTCTCGGCAGTGATCATTCCCTGAGAGACGTACCATTCATTCCACTTCCTTAAGCATCGTTAACTGTGATAGAATGCATATGTGGCCTACACAATGACCCTCGATAGCCTACCATCGCATCGAGCTAGTACGGCCATCCCCTCAGGCAGGCCTGTTACCAATTTGCCAACGCAGAGGGATTGAAGGCTTGATGAGCCTGGGACGCGTGATCGATCTCATGTGTATTGCAGGGAGCCACTAACTGCGGTACACTGGCCTCCGTTCCCAGATATTCGGCACAAAAGTCGCCAGTCTTTGTGGAACGCAGGTACCTTTTCCTAGAGAAATCTGGTACTGACCACTCAACCCCGAAGGGATCTGTGAAATCTGCTTATTCTGCAATGGGAGTGAACTGTGGCGTTGTACGTATTGAACGGCACCCATATTTCTGCGTTATGCCCATCCACAGTTGCTTTCTATATCATATTAACTGAAACTTCACGAAGCATCGATACTTGAGTTTCTGGTTTTCACTTCTAACCTACTCTTAAATTATGTCTGAATCCTTCAATCCTTGAATTTCTCAGACTTCAGGAAAGAAAATCGGAAAGGAATCGCTATTCCAATCGCCCGAACTATACAGCACAGTCCATATTCAACATTTCGATAAAGTTATTACCTACTTTATTTGTTGCAGAAAAATACCACGTCCATAGTTGAAAATATTACGAAATTCCTAATGTGTAATTTGATGCAACACCTGATGAAACACCGATGAATTCCCCTTGGCTTTAAGAAGTAGCTACTTAGCAAAGGAGTTTACATTTTCAGATCGGATATGGGATGTAACAAAAAGAGCGCTTGTTAATTTTTGTATGATCCTGAATAGAACTACAGTAATACTTATGGGATAAGAATTCTATAAGCATGGACCTAAGTAATACACGTATCCACCATTTCAGATGTCTCAATTGCCATTAACAGATAAATCAATTCTTTAATGATCACGACGTCTTCCTATACGTTCGATAAATCACTATACTTGATAAAAGGGTTATGTAAGACCACCTAAGTAGGTGTTTAATCTTAATAAACAACATGAAAATAAAGTCGGCACAACCGGGTAAACAATCTCGAATTGCTTTGTAAAGTGAAGATTATCAGCACAAAAAGAATATTGAGCTTGGGCTGTACAAGAAAGCAATACAAGTAAAAGTACTATAGCAGACTGATATTACCGTTTTAGCAAAAAAAAAAATAACAAAAACTAGACCTGTACTGATAACTAGTATGAAGACAGACTATATCAATAGATACAGTGAGGAAGGAAGCACTGGCTAGAACACTGAGATTAGATGATCTCAAGTGGAGTCATTCTGAGGTAAGTGTAGCTGATTCTCGTTTCTTCCAAAATTTCTTCACCGTCTACAACTCATTGCGGATTGAAAACAAGCCATCAACCGGACATTGACCGTTCAGTCTGATCCACGCCATCTCAGAGATCCCATAATAATGCACGAAAGCGGCAACCACCACACAAGTATGGAATAACTGATGAGATTGAAACTGCAATAGAAGTATAAAACGCAGCAAAATCATTTGTTCGGCTTCATTTCGAAATGCTCTGAAATGTAGATGAGCTTTCTGCCAGAGTGCTATAATTGAAACGATACCGTACTGGTAAATGCCTATCTCCCTTATAAGACGAACCAGGCATAAACTACAGGAACCCAAATAGCCGATAATGTGCTAAAAGCGAATCCAGGACAACGATAAACTGGACCTACAACGAAATTGCACAGTATGTACATTCTTCAGCGCCATGCCTGATTTATATAACGAGAATATGTAGGCGTCTACACACAGATGCATGTGTAAACATAAATACTAGGAAGTGCTCTATATTTCTCCTGAACAAACAAAAGATGTTATTTTACTTCTTTACTTATGAGCAAGCTGACGTTTCGACGGATTTCGCCTTCCTCAGAGCCTAGAAAGGTCAAGTTCACCTCACTAACTGACTAAGAAGTGCAGGATTCAATTAATACTCATTCACGGGAAATCGTTGCTTGCCATTATAAACTGCATATCAGAAGAGTTCAAAATGATGAATAGATGTGAGAATAATCGTACTAACAGCAAGGATGCAAGCATAACGTATACGATCACCATATTACTGGTAAAACCAAAACAACTTTTTGGAAGGAGCCAAGCATCAGCCTTTGTCAATCAAACTGGCCGAATACGTGAACATGTGCACTTGTGTACATATCAAACGATATTTAACTTCTTCTACAAATCTATACGCAAATCCTCGCTCTGACGCAAGGACTTCTAACACGTCAGCAGCTAAAAGACTGAAGTTGTGACTATCACGTTGCTTAACGTCTGCTAACATTGAAAAAACATCCAAACGAAAACCAATAGCTGAATTTTTCGTTACGAACCGACGATAATATGACAAGTGAAGCAGAGGTAAAAGGATAACCTTTAACAGAACGCCGAAACTACGTTGTTCAAGAAAATAACCTCTCCCTTGTCACCTATGGGATTTCTGCGCTAATTGCAAACTCACAAAAAATTCCTCCGCTTTCTCTCCACATTGATACCTCAGGAACACTACCATATCACGACTTCATACAGAGAAATCAGAGGATTCCATTCTATTCAGAGAAGTGCTATGTGCATAAATACGAAGAAAACTAACCCATATATCACACTTCCCAGGAAAAAATCGTTCTGGAGTGCGAGTTGCGTACAGAAGGGCTCCAAGAAGATATAAGAAAGCCATCAAAAGAAGCCAATGGAAGGCATTATCTTCAAACAACGAACGCACACCGTCAGTGATTATATAATGAACAGTGGGAACGATACCTAGAAACACCAATATTCGCGGTTAATCCAAAAGAGCAAAGCAGGTAGTAGCCGGAAAATAAGTTGCCCGCAAAGTTTTTGAGAATCACAGGACCTCGTTAACTCATAGAATATGATGTACTTCTATTGTCACAATCGCTCATGTACTCAACAAACATTTTCCAATTTTAAATATGCATACATGTAAACTTTTTATTTGCTGCCTACTACAGCTTTTCACAGCAATGTATTATGTGAGACACAACCACAATGATCATAAAACATTTGCAGAACCCCGGAACACATACGTCTGCGGTGGAATCGAACACGTAAATACTCTTTCCGAGAGCTAACGCGTTCACCACCACGCTATGAGAGTCCTTCCTTTCACCTTTCTCTCAGCTAGTTTTCTATCTACCTGTGCCATCAGCAATCAGCCGTCAACGGGAATGACAACGCGTTAGACCCCGGAAAAGGTAATAGCGTGTTTTATCCCTACCGCAGAGACCTGCGGCCCGGAGCTTTCTAAATATCTCAGTACCATTAATATGCACAGAACTAAAACGTTCATAATAATACTTGGTAATGGAACAATAAGAAAAAATTCCAACCTGTCAGCAAAGATCTCCAAGGCCCTATCGACTTGTTTAAACTAATTTGATATGAGCCATGTTGGCCTGGTTTAGCCACTGTGGTTCCCTGGAATCCCGAGGTCAGCCTGGCGAAAGTCTGCTCCAGGTCGTCACCACCGCTGGGAGTCGCAGCCTTTGTGGATCAGAGCGAGATTTCCCACCACGTGACTAATTTGATAGAAGGACGATTGTGGATCCTGGTATCCTTTCACTCTTAGTTAGGCTACCTGATGGAAATGCCAGACTACTTTTCACCTTGGGAGACCCTACCAGGGAGATGAATCCCCTCGCTGTACATAGCAACCCAACACCCAAGAACAGGAAATCTCCTAAAAAGTGGAGATTATGCTGGGGCCCGTACGACCAGTGAACGAGCCACCCAAATATCGAAATAACTATGTTGGTCTAAATCCAAAGCTAAAGTTTAAAAGCAGCGACTAATTGCGTCTCAAATGCATTGTAATCAGCACAAGTCGGACGCTAGGCGATGAATGTCCATAACTTAACACTTCACTTATTTCGATATTTACACGGGTCGTTTTCACTGGCTGTATGGGTCCCGAGCATATCTTCTATTTCTTAGGAGATTTGCTGGTTTGGCTATTGTGGTTCCCTGGAGTTCCGCTGTCAACCTAACCAAAGTCTGTCCCAAATCGTCACCACCACATACAGGAGTAGCCCTTGTGAATCAGATTTGCCACCATGCGACTAGTTTGATACTAGGACGGTGATGGATCCTGGTATTGGTTTACTTTTAGCTGGGATTCCCGATAGAAACGACGGACTCCATCTCAACTTGAGAGACCTTGCTGGGTGGATGGATCACTCTGCTGTACATCGCAACCCAGCACCCAGGAACACCTCCAGCCACGACGGGCCGATAATCCGTTGGAATGGTTCAATATTTTACCTTGAATAAACCATTTATTTCAGGAAGTATTCATAACCAAGATCAACTATTACATTAGTGAATCTTAAATAATTGAAGATTTTCACTCCACATGAAACTGCGACACTTAAGAGAAGTTGAACCTTTACAACTACTTTTTCCTGACTTTCTTAAGGCGTTAGCCCCATAACTCATCAGAAAGCACTTACCACTGCATCCCATCCCAACAAAAACACCTGCCCGAAGTGGTCGGTAACGGGGTTCACTGAATTTATCCCAAAGTGAAACAACAATTGCGCCTGAACCAAAAAAAATACGCAAAACAAGCTGTTCAAAATGAGAATCAAGAAAATTTACTGTTGGCATACCTACACCAAGAACGGATACCATAGCAATGTACGTAATCTTTGGCTCCATTCGACAGTAAAATCCATAGTAAATCCATGGAATGAATGATCCAACTATCAGTAGAGATATGCCCATATAGTCAAGCCTTAACCTCACATTACCAAGAAAGGAAAAGAAATAAAAAACATCACAGTTCAATACGGCTTGGTGAAAAGACTTCCAAAGGTGCTAGTAGTGTTTAAGTATCATTGAAAACAGTAGCAATGACTTCCTATGCTTTTTCTTAACGGGAATTTTAGACAAGGGTAACGCACGGCGCCTGCTACCTACATTTTACTGCTCTTCAGTAATAAAAAAACCTCCTTAGCTGAAGGAATAGCTGCAAATGAAACACATATACCCTTCATCCTCCAAACGCATCCGTAGTTGGGATTCACTAACTATGATGGCATGTTTTTGAAGAAAATCCTGTCTCGACGATCCACTATTTTTCCCCAGTCGGTAATTTTTTCATTCATCATTACTATAGGAAAGTATAAGAAAACCATACTGCAAAAACTTTGTACTTACTTGCAAAACAAGCGGCCAACGTTGAGAGAATGACAACACAAAGTGTGGAACACAAAAGAGAGTCCTAAGCATAGAACAGCTCCACCAAAGAAAAACGAAAACACTATCTTTTCTTGCCACTGAATGTGGTTATCAGGACGAGTGAGAAACCACACCCCAAGGCAGAAGAACGCTAAGCACCCTAAAATAAGGAAAGTTGATACAAACAGAAAAAGCCATATCTTAAACGAAAAACTTAGAGTAAATGCAGCTTTTCACTCGATTTGGTATAGTAAAGACAGACCAATAAGATGAGTCCAAATATTCCCAGTTTCAGTGTGAAGTGACCAAATGCTTTTAAAACACTCAGCGAAAGAGGGAAGCGGAGGGCGATGACCGTGACTGTAATTACCGTATTGTTTTAAAAGGTGCAGATGAAATAGACTAACTAACCAAGACACTAAACCCAACTAACCGCAGAAATTCGTTATCCTGCAGCCAATCTGGCAAATGCTCATATTTCAAAACCTTCCAACGTGCCTCATAGGTCTAAACGATTGCTAGAAAATGGAATTTAAACACCATCAGAATAGCATCAAATTTGTTCTGTAACTCAAGAAATATGTAGATTCGAGTATGTGATCAAAAACTTGTATTTATGACAGACTGTGACAAGATATCCCTACGATGGAGAGACTGAAAAACTCAAGCCCATTGATAAAGGTATAATTTTAAAAAAAAAACCAGCCTTCGTTACGATTCCTGTAGTTTCTGAACACTCTTCGGTTACGTCTACCTGAAATTTATTCACTTCACAACTTTTATGTAGGAATTACTCAAACTAATTGCTGGTTCCAGTTTGAAACAAACATCAAATGAAGATTTTTCCATCTCAAAAAGAAAAAAAACATCTGCACTGTAGCATGAATGTAGAAACTGGAAACCGTCAACTACAATGCTTTTTTGTACAAAGCAATACTAAAATTTGAATCTCGCCAATTTTCTCGATGAACGCGTCAACCATAAAAAGGTCTATGGTCTCAATGTGGCCGTGAAATGTTCCTGGATGTCGGAATGCGATGAACAGCGAGGATTCATCCTCTGGCATGGTCTCCTAAGCTGAGAAGGAGCCCAACGTTCCCATCCGGAAACCTAGCTAAGAGTAAACCAATACCAACAATCACCGTCATCCTGGTATCAAATGAGCTGCAAAGAGGCAAATCTCCTTCTGATCAACAAGGTCACGCAACTGCTTGTGGTTGTCACGGACCAAGGGAGGGCTTCGAGGGTGCCTACCTCGAAACTGCAAGGAATCACAATGGCTAAACGAGCAAAACTCCAGCCTCAGTACTCGCACACCTGGCGCCCCCGACTACGATATCGGGCAGTGGAACCACTGGTGTAAGACGAACAAATTTAGGCTGCACACGATGTCACTGGAAACGGACATAGCTAGCGCACTCACAAGGCATGAAGACTGATCTAGTGACTTGTAACGCCAGAACAGTCTCTTCAGACACCATTCTTTACGCCTTTCTTGAGGACGCTGGTGATATCAAATTCCACGTGATCGCCCTACAAAAGGCGAAAAGCGTGAAGATCTACTTACGTCAATTAGATGACGGTCCCTTGTCATTCTTCGAGGAAAATTTTCGTTACGAAATGTCGGAGGCGTTGGTTTTGATCGTACACTTATCTATTTCTCATCTAGTGATCCTATATGAAATCCCATCACCAAGCTTGCTCATTCATCGTCCTGCGTCAAAAGAAAGTCAGTATCATCAACTGTTACTCACCAACTTGTACAGTCAATAACAGCGAACTGGACGCATTCTACAGCTAGTTGAAGGAAGCAATCCACAACAAAAAGACATTGTATAAAATCGCTGTTGGAGACTTCAATTCTAGACTAGAAACGGGAAGCGAAAATGAGTGAAGGATAGAGATAATCGGAATTGAAGATCGAAACAAGAATGGAAAGCCTTGAAAGACTGCTGTGCGCACACGTCTCTTCCATAGGAATTCATTTTTTAAGAAAACAAGAAGTCTGTGATGGTCATGAAAGTCTCCTAACGGTACGACTCATGCGGAGATCGACCACATTCGCATGAACAGATAATAGCGTTTCTTTGACACCTCAGTGGTACCTGGATTCTTTACTGGATCCGATCACTGCCTTCCCTGTACAAAAAAACGATTAGACCGTAAGCTGTGGAAAAAATCCTGTCATCGTCGCAGAAAAAGAAGGCAAGTCGAGGATATTACAAACAAAATCCTCTCCTCACATTAGTACCAGATAAAGGAATACCGCACCGCGCACTAGAAACGGCTTATCGAAAGGCTTAAAACTTCCACCGAATTCGGTTCAGTGCCTCAAACAAAGAGTTCAAACCGCATCTCCATTTCCATTAATGACCTGCTTGAAAAAAAACAAAACTGGAGCTTCATCCTACTGTAACAATCTAACACGAGTAATAATGAGGCCCAGCTGTAGAAGACGTTTGAAGCAGGATTGGTAGAAAGTTATTGGAAACAGCTCAAAAACGATGCAATCTGAAGAGCAACCATCAGAATGTATAAGACTATTACCGTTCGGCTATCGGAATTGGTGAACGAAGATGCGAGCATGACCATATCCCGTCATGACATAGTATTTATAACGGAAAAGTGTTATAGCAATGCTTTCCGTTCTACAATCCACAGCTCGGGCCGTGAAGGCCATGCTGAGGAAATGTCGCCCGGGACTCAACCTTCTGAAGTTCCAGTTGCATCACCATTTTTCGGAGATTTGCTGGTTCAGCCATTATGGTTCCCTGCAATCCCGAGTCTGCCCCAGGTCGTCACCACGACAGGCGGTTGCAGCCCTTGTGGACCGGAGGGAGATTTGCCACCATGCGACTTTGATACCAAGACGGTGGTGGACCCTGGCATTGGTTTACTCTTAGCTAGGCTTCCTGATGGAAAAGCCAGACTCCTCAGCTCGGGAGAGCCTGCCGGGGGGGACGAATCCCCCGCTGTACATCGCGGTCCGACACCCAGGAACACTTCCCAGCCACGATGAGGCGGTAAACCGTTTGGAGGGTTATCGGAACTACAGCATAAAAATACAGCTCTTGCATAAACCTTTTTGCCATACCCATATGAAAACGGGTTCGACAAGGCGGCACAATATCCATTTACTACCGTCCTGTACTGGATCATCGAGTCACTCGAATGCGAGTGCAAGGGCATGTACTGATGGAAAATTCTCATCAAATTTTCGTTTAGCCGACGACACCATCATCTCAATAATTACCAACTAAACACCGATGATACTCAAAGAACTGAATGAAGCCAAAAAAAAAAGACTAAACTGCGCACAAACAGCACGAAGACCGAGCTCACGAAGAATTTATGGTGTGAAGACGAACAAGTCGAACCCCATAGTTCTTTGAATACAGAGACTTCACACGTGCATCTTGGACGCTTAATGAACATATAGAATAGGATGAATGAGTGATTAGACAGAAGGGAGGCAGCATTAACTACATTCAAGTTTCTCAAAGAAGCCATCGTCCTGCCAGTGCTCTGCTATGCAGCAGAGACATAGGTTGATACTTCAAGAAGAACTCTACGCTCAACCTACAGAACGCTTGAACGATGTCTTCCGAAATTTAAGCGGCAATCATATCTAGCCAGAGTGTGTAACTCATACGTTCGAGACCTAGGAGAATGTACATCGATAACGAGGCACAGGTGGGCCGGTTATACAATATGAAGACCGATTGACAGATGGACAAAGAGTACAGTTAAATCAACTCAAAAAGAATGCAAGCGTCCTCTTGGACGGTCACATAAACGATGGCTGGATGTGGATAACAACAACCATCTGCATTTGCAGATGGGAACAGTTTCAGTGCTACGAAACAGGTTTGGAAAAAGTCAACATATCCGAAGAAGAGCATCACTACTGACGACGCTAGCGCGAGAAACGAATAGAAATCAGGCTCTGGCCTCCACAACCAGTGAAGACTACCCATCCAAGGATACAAACAATTAAACAAATACCGTCTAATAAACCCACTGCTGGTGATACGGAAGTTTTCATATGCCTTGGTGAAATAAGTAATTGAAAAGATAAAGGCGATAAGAATTATCGAGTTAAGATCATCACCAAGACAACAACTGAACCAATTATAAACATTGTAGAATATGAGTACAACGATGCTGAGATTTTGCAAAACTCCGGACCGCAGGTGTCTGCAGGGGGATCGAATATGATATTATCCGGGGGCTAACCGTTCAGCACCACACCATGCGCGTCCTTCGTTTCGCCTTTCTCTCAGCCATTTTTTATAGGTGACGATTATAGACTATATATTGTAGATCAATGCATACTTCTAATTCGTCTTCGTCTCCTTTACGAATCGAGCTGTCGGCCTGAACCTGCCTCCATTGTCCACCGCGACGTCTCCTATACCTCAACACTGTGTGCTTTCGCCCCTCATCATCACTTCCACATGTTCCACGATGAAATGAACTTGTTCTACACCGTTCCGTGATTTCCGAGTCCGAGAGAGTTGCTGTAAAACAGAAAAAGCTCAATGATGAGACCACTGATCGCCACTAGTAATACTCTTTCCATCATATATGTAACTAAAAATGTCATACAATGCCCAAAAAAAAGATGACAGCTGGAACAAGCTATAAAAGAATACAATAAAGTGTATTTCTTAAAGGGCACATCGCTTATCATCCACCAAATGTAATACATTGGATGAAAACAACGGGAACATGAAAACAAGAAAAGGGAACGAAACAAAAAAAAGCCAGAAAAGCGATGAAGGGCTTCGAAACTGCGTTACGAAAGATTACTTCATAACAGGTATCTGTTCAAAAGATCTAGTTCCCTGTGTCTTTAGTATCAGTACAACCTTACATGACAATTCCAACTCTCAGAACTCAGTCCCGTATTTCTAACGGTGAACACTAGTTTTCAACTCCCGGATATAAAAAGGATAAAGCTCTCGGCGTTGATCAATCCCCGAGGGATGCGCCAAGCCTTCGCCTTCATTGCGCATCGCTGGAAGTGACAGAATGAATATCTGGCTTTTAGAATGACTCGCGATTGCCTACCGATGTATCGAGCCGGTTCTACTATCCTTCCAGACAAGTATGGTACCAATTTGACGACCCCAGAGGGATACAAGGCTTCGTGGGGCCATGGGTGCGGGGATCGATCCCACGTGTGCATTGCAGGACGCCTCTGGTCACTGCGGTATACGCGCCCTAACAGGTACAACAGTAACTAAAACCATGAATCTAAAAGAATGACTTCGTTTAGTGTTATAATTGCCAATTTTTACAGATGTGAGAAGCAGAGGCAACGTACCGAAATCCTCATCATCCGAATTCGGTTGTGAAAGTACTTGAGCAGTTCGACTGTAGAACACTTCAATCTCCTCGCCTGTCTTTCGAGCTGCGGGATTTTTAACCTAATCATCAATGATCGAAACGCGACTCAGTGATCGGGAACACAAATGACTGAATATATTCGGAATCCGGGAAAAAATCCGGAATTGACCCCGGAAATATCCACGAATGCTGATACCTGCACAGTCGTACTGTCCTCGACAACCCGATCGCCTCCGAAGTCATAGCCGCTATCGTTTAAAACATGTCTCAGAGCTTCACTTATGTCCTTACTCATGTCTGAAACAGGCCTTTGTAGGCGTTATAAAATCCATCTTCATGAAAAAATGGAGTGAAGGTAACATCGTAACATCATAGGTCACATGGCTTCCAAATAATAAAGTAAAAAACATGAATGCTTGTAAAATACAATCACAATGGTGCTGAGATATCTGCAAAACTCCGGGCCGCATATGTCTGCGGTGAGGACTCAAATTACTATTACCCTCTCTAGAGGCTAACGCGTTCACCACCACACCACGCGTGTTCTTCGCTTCGCCTGTCTCTCAGCTAGTTCTCTTGCAGAATAATTCACACAATAATTGAAATTAAGTGCTTGTCTTTGCTATAATTCCCTCCACCCATATGGTGGGCACAATAGATATTTGCAACGTTCTGGAAGGCACTTGGAAGAAACAGTGGAACGACTTGTCAACAATGAAGAAAAGTGGGATTTGTTGGGCTAAATTTGGCTCTGTAGATATAGTGAAAATCTTTTTTTACACCAAAGGGTGTTTTAAAAAAAAAAACTACCTAAAAAAGATACCTCCTATGGAAAAAACGTAGTACTTACTCATTTTAAAAGCCGGAAAAGATCTTCATCAAAGCAAATGAGACCAGTAAGCGCCTAAACAATTCCTCACAAGGACAAACAATGTAAGATGTAGAACTTCCAACATATATCCAAAACAATGAATGGTTGACAGATTGACAAAAGAGACGATCGGGTATGGTGGAAGAACAAAAACGCGCGCCACAGACAGCCTCTGCCCCTGTCGGTCACATGGACTGGGCGGGATGATGATCCGCAACTGCACGGCATGGCAAACACAGTAACCAGTTATAAGCTGTAAGTCGATGGATCCACATCCAGTACGTGCATGTTGGAAGGATCTACACGATCAGGCTAGCCATCTCCATGACTCGTAACTGTTGCGTAGGCATGAAAAATGGGGAGAAAATATGTCGCCAAGTAGTCGTTTATTAATAAAATGAAAAAAAATCAGCTTAAGCCGTAATCTAGGGCTTACTGCAATGGACATATAACCAAATTTTCAAGGAAAAATGGTCACCGATTGAGTGACTTTCAGCCTAGCGTGATGGAAACGTAATAGTTGTATTTATATCTTAGTCTCATGATTTCAATCGATTCAACACAGGAACCGTAGTTAAAAGAACTCTATGCGGCGAAATGAACAATCAGGGAGTACACAAATCGTATTCAACTCATATCGTCCACTATGCCGGCCAGGGAATGGAGCATATATGATTTGGGAGCTGTCATCGTTGTATTTTCGATGTTAGTGGATTTCTATTGCCAGATCGACACTTTTCTAGTGGTCCTCCTCTCTACGAGGGTTTTCTGCTGCATTATTTTGTATTCAGTTTATAACTAGTCTGACAGGAACCAGTGTGGTGTGTGCCGGGCGATAAAAGCTGTTCTCTACACCTAATCATTTGGAAAAATTCTTATCGGACGAGTTTACCTCGTGGTGAGAGACTTCTTATCATGAAAATGTTAACACCAAGGGGATTGAACCATTCAACGCCTCTAATTTCGTCTCACCTTCAGATGTGCTCCTCCCAACTTCTGGTGGACACTCAGTCGCTTTTTCTTATTTTTTCCCTATATGCAAATCAGCAGGGCGCGTGTGGCGCAGTGGGAGGAGACGCCCTGCAACTCACACGTGGAATCGATCCCCACGCCCATGGCCCACCAAGCCTTCCATCCCTCCGGAGCCGGCAAATTGGTACTAAACTTGCTTGGAAAGAAAGCAGCACTGGCCACCGCGAGACATTGTAAAGGCTAGATATGCATTCAATCACCTCCACATGAAGTCGAATGCATGGCGAATCCCTCAGGGATTGATCCACGCCGAGAGCTTTCTCCTTTATCCTTTTACGCAAAGCAGATGATTTTCCTCTAGAGCAATCTCTTCGCAATCACGTATACAATTTATTCATGTACAATCTATTTTGCTGGACCCAAAAATCGTCCGGGAGCTCTAGCACTTTCGAGTCATCAGCGCCTATATGTCTCGACATTCGCTTACACGCACAGGTTATGACCTTGTACCCGCAGTCCTTAGTGCACAGGTTAAGCGCTTAGGCTTCTTTTGGGAGTTAATGTATTACCAGAATACGAATCGCCCTCGAAAAGGCACAAGAAATTCATTAGGACATAGGTTCACGTTAGAACTGTGGATTCACTGGTACTTCTCATTTATAATTTCGACAAATGACCTGAACTCGCACAATTTGTATTGTCGGTGAAATGGCGACCAGCCACCAGCATCCGGAAATGTTTCCCCTTTAGCATAACCCCAAAGAGGACGACACGCATAGATTCAATCAGGGCTCCAAGGACCTTTTTTTGGAAACTTTTGAAATTGTACATTCTTCCTCCTATATTCTTGTTACGATGAGCCATATCACAAATGGCAGTCGTTCAGGTTGTTGTTCCGCCTTACTAGGAAATCAATCAGCCTTTCACGTTTAGACGAACATAGCCCATGATGAATTTTATTTATTGAAATAAGTCTGTAGAATCTAGAAGTCTCTGCGAACAAGACACTAGTTTTCTAACTCCAACAGAATACATTCTGATGTCTTAGAGCACATGAGATGATGTTTTTTTTTGTCGAAGCTCATAATCCGAATTAAACAACGATTTAAAAGACGGGATTACGTCCAGTGAGACATCAGTGCGTCGCTAAACGCTCGGATGACATGTGCGCCCCGGGGGGTTTGCTTCCAGGACTTTAAAATCCCTGTTCGTTCGGTTTTCACTCATTTTTAAGTCTTTTTGTAGACTTAGTTTTCAAACAAAACTAGAGCTGAAGCTGATAAAAGCTTCTTTTATAAGGCCATCTCGTTATCAACTCTTCAAGTATGTCAGTTTCCGACAAATTACCGGGAGATGGGAAAACCAGCATCATCCTATGTGTTAAGCATGAAAAAGCCAATTTTAGTCAGTAACTGAATGTAATTTAATTTAGAATCAATAAGATGGGATCAATAACCATGATTTTCGTGCGGAATGGATGGATACAAAAACTACCAACATATATTCCATGCCACCGTGAAACCACTATCAAAAACTAAGAGAAACTCGATTGCATTGTGGAAAGTCGTTCTTCTTCACCACACAAGGGTTCAAATCGTTCCAAATTCATGGGACAATATATAGAAGAACACATCGAACACAAAGAAAAGAAAAAAGTGAAATCACTAATACGATAGATATGGAAACCGAGTTATACGAGGCGGTTCGACCGGTATGAGTTGATATCCACTCGCAGTGAGGGCGGGGATAAACTATGCGTCAAGTAGACGCTGCAACGAGACCTATTTACGCGTCGAAATCGATGCATTTGAAACTATGGTGGTCATATGATTATTGGTGTTCTTGGCGGTAATTTATGCAAATATTAACTTCGTGAATTCAAAAGCGTTAGAGCAACATCGTTTATTTAACCATGGAGGTTTAGTCGAAGTCCCAATGAACGTAGGAGCTTTACCTTAATCCTAACCTTTTTATTTACTGCCTATTCCTTTTAAGGGCAGGGTATTTTGCGAAATATAACCACTATAATATTGAGGTATTTGCAAAACTCCAGACCGCAGGTGTCTGCGGTGAGGAACAAACGCGTTATTGTTTTCTACGGGGTGTAACGCGTCCACCGCCACACCATGCGGGTCCTTCGTTTCGCCTGCCTCTCAGCTAGTTCTGTCGATCTTTTGCCATCAGCAATCACCCGTCAAGGGGATTGACCTGGGGAGACCAAATTAGCATTGAACCCAGTTAAGCTGAGTCCGAGAGACAGGCGATACGAAGGACCTGCATGGTGTGGTGGTGAACGCGTTACTCCCCGGAAAGGACAATAACACGTTCGTTCCCCACCGCAGACAACTGCGGTCCGGAGTTTTGTAAATATCACAGCATTATAGTAGTCTTACCTTAGTTTCTTTGTTGGTGAGTAGTGAAGTGAATCAAGTAAACCGGCAGCCGTCGGTCGATGTTATAAATGAGAACTGTTGCATGCTGGTCCGACTCATTGAAGGAGACGTTTGTTTTTTGATAAGAGAAAGATCAAAGATGGGACAGTTCTCGTCTATCATGCAGTGAAAAATGATTCGATTGGGGGACTAACCGCAAACAGTTTAGAAAACATTCATGTCAATGGGTGATCGCTTCATTTACACAGACCACACCGCACTCTGGCTATCAGGAAGCTTCTCACCTGCACACGCTGACAGCCTTCACTGTAAAACTGACAGCGTCACTCATTTTTTATATCGATGTTTTTAAAGGGGTTTCCTGTGATTAGAGTCAACTCGCGATTTCTGATACGCTACCGATATAATATAGGGTCAATTTCCAAAACTTCTAATTTGTTTTTTCAAGGTGTGTAGTGAAAAACTCGTGTGGTGCAGTGGCCGGAGGCGTCCTGCAACACACACGTGGACTCGATCCCTGCGCCCATGGACCGCCAAATCTTCTATCCCTCCGGGGTCGGAAAATTACTACCATATTTGTCTGGAAGGATAGCAGCGCTGGCTCGATATATCGGTAGGTCGCAGCGAGTCATTGTACAGGTCAGATCTGCATTCAATCGCTTCCGACGATGCTTAATGAAGTCGGGTGCGTGGCGCATCCCTCAGGGATTGATCAATGCCGAGAGCTTTATCCTTTATCCTTTATCCTTTAAGGTGTAGTGATGTTGTTCAATACGAGCAAAGCGATAGTTCGATCCAGCTGGGCGAACCAGGCTCACCGTCTCAGAAATTGCTACCTTACCTAGCTGGGATCAGTCCGACCCTTCCAGCCCACAAGCGGTGGTGACTGCTTGTGCTGAAGATCTGGGAACGTTCTAGCACGTGTGCTCCGGGATTCCGGAGAGAATTTACTCGATCAGAATTCGACGAAATTCGTAAAGAACATCAAAAATCCTCAAGCAGTAGCCGAACCCATACGCAAAATCCAAAGAACTTCGTGGATGGCGGATGCAAAGAAAT